GCAAGACTATTTTTTTTATGTTTGCTTTGTGGGAAGGATGTCTCCAGATACTTTAAAAAAATGCTTGCATGATTTATGACCTGCTAGGCGTATTTCGGGATAAGGTTGATGAATGTGAAAGGTTTTGAATATCGCAAACCAAAGGTTTAAATTTCCAATTAATGGGTCTATATTTCGAAAATACTGCTACCAATAGTGAAGAAAGTGGCAGACAGGTTATGGAAAGAAAAATTTCGATTGACAGCTTGGTCAGAATTTTTGACGCAGCAATTACAGGACTTGAACAGTGAAAGCTTATAACTGAATATGAAATTAAGTCTGTGTACAGAATTAAAGAGATAATATTAGCACAAAAAAGCAACTTAAACAACTTGCATTTAAAGAAATTTTAATAAACTAAACAAATGTTAAGCCCTTTTTTGTAAATTTTGTTATCCTCTACATCATAAATAATACTTCATTATTTTATAAATCATGATTTCATATTGCTAATTTTGTAATTTCTATATGCCATTAAGTTTAAAGCTTGCAGCTGTATGCATTTAATAATTTATTCTCTTGATTCTTTATTATCTGCATTTATACTATATGCAGTGTTTTAAAACCTTTTCATCAATAAATTGAAATTTAAAAAATTAAGTCATATAGTTTTGTTAGTCTTTATATTAAAAATCATATATTTTTGTTAAGTCTTTAGATGTAGGTAATTAACTATAGAAGGAAATTCACACTGAAAGGTAATGCTGAAAATTAAGCTTCTTTTGCCATGTGTGTGATTAATGTATAAATACTCAATGAAACTTAAGCGATAAAAGCATTAAAATTTAAAAAAAATTAAAAATAAGTTTTAAGCATCTTCAGAAATAATGCTAATAAGGAAGATTTATTGTTTTAGGAATTATAGAAGATGTAAACAATTCCAGAGTTGCCAACTCTCCCGATTTTCGACCGCTCTCCGGCCAACGCGATTTACAATATATTTCTCCCGACTTTTTCTTATTCTTAATATTTCTCACGATTTTTATGGAACTTGGCTTAATACTTCGTTATATGAACAAAAAAAGCGATTTTGGACGTCTGAAAGCAACTGAATTGTCTCTAGATTATATCTAAAATGAAACCTTGCGAGGTAATAAATTTGCGAGGTGTACCATCTGTTGTTGCGATTTTTCGATTTCGCTTGGTGGAAGGGCAGATGCTCTCAAACATGTGCGTACACAAAAATACAAGGATAACATGAAGTTCTTTTGAAAAACGAAAAATTAAATTTTACTGTCGGAAACGAAGGACCAAAAAGCTGATTAATGCAGAATGTCTGTTCTCTGCCTTTTACTGGAGCACAAGCTGCCACTGAATGCATCAGATCATGCTGCAGCTTTATTTAGAAAAAGTGTTTCCACAGATAGCAAAATTCGCTAAGAAATACGCAAGTGCAAGGACCAAAATGGCGGTGCAGTTGTTAAAGAACTTGGGTATGAAAAATAAATCTTCAGTTATTGACTGCATTAAAGACAGTTCCATTCTGTCCCTCTCTACGGATGGGAAGCAATAATACCAATTCAAAACTGTATCCATTTGTTGTTTCTTTTTTTTAATCCAGTAGTCTTCAGAAATTGAGTGTAGTTTACTTTCTGCCCCCACTTTAGAAGGACATTCGACAGGCTTTAATATAGCACAGCTAATTATTAAAACTTTAGAAGAAAATACAATTCCCTTCTGGATAATTGTTTAGCACTTGGTGCTGATAATGCACCAATAATGGTAGGTTTGAAGACTGGTGTTGCAGGCATCTTGAAAAAGGAAGCTTCAGATTTGCAAATTATGAGATGCATCTGTCTCACCTCTTAAATTTAGCAGCTAAAAAAAGGAGCAACTTTTTTACCAGTAAAGTGTGGGCATGAACACATTGTTGATTATTTATTATTATCTTGAAAGGTGTTCCTAAAAAGAAGGAAAAAATTAAAACAATTCCAGCAGCTGCATAATACTGAAATAAGAAAAATTTTGATTTTTTGTAATTTCTGCATCATTCAGCAATTCAACTAGCAGTTCTCAAAATAATACTGCAAAATATAAGCGTAAAGCTGATACAAATTTCTCTCAAAATCAAAGAAAAATTGCTCAACACATGAAACATTTTCCGATTACTGTAAGTTTATCTTGTGAAGAACGAATATTTGTTTTTTTCCTTCAGACCTTAACAAAGCTTTTTGCTTTTTGCTTTTTTTTTTTTTTTTTTTTTTTTTTTTTTTACAATTCATTTTGCCATCATTCGATGTTCTAAACACAATTCTACAAAGCAGAATTCCATTAATTCATGTTTTGCAGTCAATGATTTATGATCTGTTTAAAGACATTTTATCAAAGTTTGTAAAACCAGTCTGTGTTTTGTCTTGTAATTCTATATATGATGTGATTATGGTGGTGAAACAGAAAATCAGAAGGAAGATGAAGATTTGGTAAGAGGAGCTGCAACTACAAAAGTAGTGGAAGAACTTTCAGAAGAAGACAAAAATAAGCTTTATCTTCATGTTAAAAGTTACTTCTGTTGATTATGTGATTACACACTACATAAATTTCCAGTCAACGATGAAGTTATTTTGCATGCTAAAGTTGGTGATGTTTCTGCTCTAGCAAATGCATCGTTTTTTTTATATAAGGTACTTTTTGAATAGATTTCCTGTGTTACTTCGTTTAGTCATGAAAGATGATGATATTGATGTTGCTACATATACTGCAGTCGCAATTTTGCAGTTTACAATTACAAAACTTAGATGAAGTTATAAAATCAGGTAGGATTGACACCCAGTGGAGGTTAATTGGAAAATTGAAAGGTGCTGATGGAATTTTAAAATATAGTGAACTCTCTAGAATTATGTTGGCCATCTTGACAGATCCCCATAGTAATGCAGAGTGTGAGAGAATTTTCAGTGTTGTTGCGAAAACGAGGACTAAATTTAGATCTAATATTAGTGATGACACATTAGAAAAACTTTTATTAGCGAAAGCAGGCCTACGTGGCAATTGCTATGAACAAAATTATGAAGTTTCTTTCTTAACGAGAGCAAAATCTGCCACTGTCCATAACATTTGTATGAAAACTGATTAAAGTGCCTTTTTTTTTTTTTTTTTTTTTTTTTTAAAACGATGAAAGTAATAAAAATGTTTTTTATGTTTAAGGTATATTTGTTTTGCTTGCATTTAAGACTTAGTAACTATTTAAAGTTAATTCATTGTTAAAAACTATTTTTATCATTTAAAAAGTCTTTTTAACATTGTGAAAAATCTCCTGATTTCTTAAAAAAATCTCCTGATTTTTGAGTGTCATAGGTTGGCAAGTATGCAATTCTAATATGCAAAGCAAAATGTTATGCATTTTTACACTGTATTATTCACTTTGTTAGGCGAGAACTGGGCTTGGAGTAGCTTGAGGTATGGCTGTTATTTTTTATGGTGATATAATGAAGACTAGCAGAATTATATCTTTTTTGTGCATACTTATTAAGGAACATAATACATGGATGAGAGTACTGAACATACTTATGCAGGAGTAGTACTGTAAAAAGTTTTTAAGAATCCTGACACATGAATTCATGTTTTTAAATCTATATGAAAGTGTTGTACATTTCGCATATTGTCCTGCTGTTATAGCTTTTGTTAGCTATAACACTTTACAAATATGCAAAATAAATTTGGTTGAATACCAGCTTTTCTTCAATGTGTTTAAAAGCTAGTCACTAACCAAACACGACAATTAGCTTTTATATATTTAATTGACAGTACTTCTCCGAGTTAGCTTTTTGTTTGGCATTAAAAAGCTCATAATGTACTGGTCCTCGATTACTTCACCATATATACACAACATTTTCCTTATTCAAAGTCAAATTTGGTTTTGAGGTGGAAGGGCTAGGTTCTCTGGGTTCATAATATGCCCTTTCTCTTACGATGTTTCCGTGGGTGATCCAATTTTCATTTCCAATTATCATCCGGTTCAAGAAGGGCATCATTTTGTTCGGAGCAAGCAGAGATGTGCATATGACGACTTGATCATCAAAATTCTTCTGACTTAATTCATGTGACACCCATCTTGAATATTTCCACACCAATCCTAGATTCTGAATATGGTTCGAAATGCAGCTCAGCAAACCTAAGCAAGCTTGAGCTGTGATCACCAATGTTGTCACAAAAGGATCTTGCTCCAACATGGTTGCAACAACACCCATCAAAGATGATTGCCCAGAACACAGCTTATCAGAAAATTCGAAATTACCTGTTTCAAATTTTTCGAACCATCTTCTGCATGCCTTATCACAAACTGTCCCTTTACCAAACACTTTCAATAAATTTCTACATGCTTCTGTAGCATTTCTTCCTTGTTGAAATTTGTATAAAATACAGTGACGTAAATGAACTTTATCAGTGGCCATGGGTACACTATCGCTTTACACTTAAGACTAACATGAATACTTTTAGTTAACTTGCTACTTCTGTATGTAGATAAAAAGAGCCGAACATACGGCAAATAAACATGTGCTTATGTGTCAAAAATTGTCATCAAACAGACATAACTTTCCGTTAGACTGAATATTTAAGCAGAGTTATATCTTTTTGGTGCATACTTATTAAGGAACGTAATATATAGATGAGAGTACTGTAAAATGTTTTTAAGAATCCTGACACATGAATTCATATTTTTAAATCTATATGAAAGCGTTGTACATTTCGCATATTGTCCTGTTGTTATAGCTTTTGTTAACTATAACACTTTACAAATATGCAAAATAAATTTGGTTGAATACCAGCTTTTCTTCGATGTGTTTAAAAGCTAGTCACTAACCAAACATGATAATTTTCTTTTATGTATTTAATTGCTTTTTCTGCCCTTTCTAGATTTCCAGATAAATTTGCAATGTGAAGAATTATGTTTGCCCAAATAAATTTCTTTGTTTCTTTATCGTAATTTCATTATTTATACCTAATCGCATATTCATTATTTGTAGATAACTCGAGCTGAAGTTGAGGTACAACCTTATGCTTTCACTACAAAGTCGTTATTTGTTGGACATACAGACTACAAATATTTAAGATGGCAGGTAATTTTTTAACTTAAAAAGCCATTTATTTTGTATACAAAGTGTATTGAAAAGTTCCTAAAGAAGCTTTGGACAAAATCTTTATTATTTAAGTCTGAACATCATCACCTTCAAAATAGTCAACATGCACAGCTGTGTGTTAGTTTCAGTGTTACTTTGACTGCTGTAGAGACTTAGAAGTTATTCTCTGTAAGTGTGTCTATGTTATGATTAACTAGGATCTCATCACCATTAATAACCCTGAACTTCAAGGATTACCCAAAGCACACTAACAGAGGTTTCGGAAAAATGCAAAGCGGTGTAACTTCTGCTCAGAAGTCAACAGTCTGGAGAAAAACCTGAAAGCAGTGCAGTACAAATTCAACCCTCCCACACATAATTATCTTCATTAATCTGTACATCAGTATTAACAGTGTTCTTCCAGTGTGTGATTATCTGCATGCAGAATGTCCCAAATTTATTTCACCTTCGAAAGTGACGCTCGTGCATGGTCCACTAGGTCACTTTTTGTGTTTAAAAGACATTCTTTTGCCTTTGAAGCACGTATGCAACTCAATACCTCATTGCCATAATCCTGCTGATTCATCTGATTGTTTCTGTGGCTCAGTATATGAAACATTTCATGTTGGCTCATACGCAATTCTGTGAGTATTATGCACACACCCACAAGAGAAACACAGTAACATTTCCAGTATTAACAGAACTTCTTTGCCATTCTGCCTTGTCAAGATCGATAACCACTTCGATGTGAACGCAATATTGTACTACCAAGTGTTAGCTTCTAGAGCTAGTCTGGGAATTTTTTTATACACTTATGTGCATGACCAGGTTACTTTAATACATTCTGCTCTGAATCTAACCTCATTGTAATATGGATTGTCTTTATTTAGGTAATTGACACTCCTGGCATTCTTGACCATCGCCTGGATGATAGAAACACTATTGAAATGCAGGCAATTACAGCTATGGCTCATATAAGAGCTTGTATCATTTTTATAATTGATCCATCTGAGCAGTGCAATCATTCTATTGAAGAGCAGGTATGTGTCTTATTCTGCTTTCAAATAATTTAAAGTTAAAAATGCAGTATGTATTCTTTTCCTTTTAGGTACCATCTTTTCTTTCCTTATAAACTTTTTGATCAGTTTTTGAACTGAGTTTACAATGAATTGAGAAAATTTTGTTATTTATTAGACTGGATTGTTTTTGTTGATTTCGACCGTGTGGGTAGGGGTAATTTCATACTTTCAATGGGGATGCAGTCATGCTTTTATTTAGCTGTTAAGTATTCAGTTTTAGCTTATTGTTCATGAAAACTACTTTTATCAAAGCTTTATTATTTATCAACTTTTTATACCTTTTATTTAAATTAAATGTATGATCTTAAATTTAGGAGATAATATAATCAGTATATCTTTAGTGAATAAATTCTTATTTAAATTATAATACCACATTAAAAATAATGTAAATAGATATAAATGTGTATATTTTTCGAGTTTGGGGAAAGAGGACATGATCTGGCAGTGGTGAAAGGTATGCATAGAGCAAAAAAGCTTGAGAAGCACAGGTATAGAGGAAATTTTGATTTGTGGTAGAATAATTAAAATTCAAAACTTAATATCCATTTTTCTTCAGAGAGGTGTTTGTTCATTTAATTGTTATCTTGTGTTCATTTAATAGTTATCTTGATGATTTAAATTTGGAAATAAGATAATTGTTTAAAATAGTATAATATGTATTCACGACTATTTAAAATTCTAAATTTACGTGAAGAACTAAGGAAATAATATAGCCAGTCATAGATTAATTAAATAGTAGAGTATCACTAGGGATAAAAAGAAGGGACCTAAGTCTAAGGAAATCTGTATTATTTGCACATAAATAACCAATTGGAATATGCCTAGTTTTAGATTTATTTACATGTTATTTATTAAACTACCTAAACTTATAGTTCTAAAATATACATTCAGTATATTTACTGAATTATATTATTACACTGAAATATACATTCAGTGTATTTCATTCAATGTCTTCAGTTGGTTGACCTTGAAGAGATGAAAATCCTGGAGGGAGAAGGGTCTGGTGAATAATTGCGAGAGAGTATTACTAAAGCATGAATAAAAGCATCCAAGTACTACTTTTTTTGTTAGGAGGCTTATCCCTAAATGTAGCTTAAATATGTTTGGATACTTTGCTTTTGTAACGTTGTTTTTTTTTTTTTTTTTTTTTTTTTTTTTTTTTGTGGTGATGTTACTGTTAATCCTGTGAATTTGTGCATGTATAATTGCTTACTTGTGTAATTTCTGAATAAGGAGTATCATGGTTTCCACAGAAGACTTATCTGTAATGATAGCTTGTATATTTCTCAGTATATTCCTCTTGAACCGATTTATTTTGTCTAACATTTTTATCGGTTTAGTGGATTATTGAATAAACTTCTGTTTCAAATATTTTAATGTGTAACTTGCAAGTGTGAATGATGGCACCTAATTCTAAATCATTCGCGGTTTCCACTAGAAGGGCTTGTCCCTACTGATAGCTTGGATGCGTATGAATACTTGCTGTTTTTACTGATTTGATTTTAGTTACAATAATTGCGTTTGCACGAATTATGCACGAAGAATTGCGAGAGAGTATTACTAAAGCATGAATAAAAGCATCCAAGTAGTACTTTTTTTGGTTAGGAGGCTTATCCCTAAATATAGCTTAAATATGTTTGGATACTTTGCTTTTGTAACGATTTCTTTTTGTGGTGATATTACTGTTACATCCTGTTGATTTGCGCATGTATAATTACTCTTGCACACATTTTCACCTGTGTGAGTTCTGAATAAGGAGTATCATGGTTTCCACGGAAGACTTATCTGTAATGTTAGGTGTATATTTCTGAGTATTTGCCTCTTGTACCGATTTCTCTCTGTAATAACATTTATATCAGTTCAATGTCTTATTGAACAAAGTTCTGTTCAGAATATTTTGATGACTATGTTACAAGTATGAATGATGATGCCTAATTCTAAATCATTCGCGGTTTCCACTAGAAGGGCTAGTCCCTACTGATAGCTTGGATGCGTCTGACTACTTGCCATTTGTAGTGATTTTATTTTATTTACAAGAATTATCTTCGTATGGACAATTTACTGTATTAGTTCGTGCTAACTGTCTCGAGAAAGAGCATTGTTTAAGTATAAATAAAAACTCCTTATCTCCACCTTTTTTAGTTTTTACTAGAAGGCTTATCTGTCAAGATAGTTTGCATATGTATTGCGTACTTTCCTTTTATAACATTTTATTGATTTATAGTATTTTACTCTGCTGTTTCGAATGAGTATGGAACAAGTATGAAAACATGACACCTAATTATAAATCATTTGTGTTATTTCCTGGAAGGTCTTCATCCCTAATGCTAGCTATGGATGTGTCTCACTACTTGCCATTTGTACTGACTTGATTTTCAGTACAATAATTGCTTTTCGCATGAAGAATTTTTTGACTGTGTTAGTTTGCAATATCTGTATTGCGAGAGAGTATTACTCAAGTATGAATAAAAACACCTTAAGGATACTACATTTTTTTGGCTTGGAGTGCTTGTCCCAAACATGTAGCTTAATATATGTTTAAATACTTCGGGTTTGGTTTTTCGATTTCTTTTTTGTGGTGAGGTTAACATTCTCTTGATTTGTGCATGTGTGATTGCTCTTGCACCCATTGTACATGTGGTATTTCAGAAAAGGGAGCATCATGGTTTCCACGGAAAAAAAATTCCTGTCATGATAGCGTTATGTGTCTGAGTATTTGCCTCTTGTACTGATTTCACTTTGTCTATGATAACATTTATATCAATTTAATGTCTTGTTGAATAAGGTTCTGTCTGCAATATTTTGGTGATTACGTTGCAAGTATGAATGATGACACCTAATCTAAATCATTCGCGGTTTCCACTAGAAGGGCTTGTCCCTACTGATAGCTTGGATACGTCTGAATACTTGCTGTTTGTACTAATTTGATTTTAGTTACAAGAATTGTGAGAGAGTATTATTAAAACATGAATAAAAGCATCCAAGTACTACTTTTTTTGGTTAGAAGGCTGATCCCTAAATATAGCTTAAATATGTTTGGATACTTTGCTTTTGTAACGATTTCTTTTTGTGGTGATGTTACTGTTACATCCTGTTCATTTGCGCATGTATAATTACTCTTGCACACATTTTCACATGTGTGAGTTCTGAATAAGGAGTATCATGGTTTCCACGGAAGACTTATCTGTAATGTAAGCTGTATATTTCTGAGTATTTGCCTCTTGTACCAATTTTTCTCTGTAACAACATTTATATCAGTTTAATGTCTTATTGAACAAAGTTCTGTTCGGAATATTTTGATGACTATGTTGCAAGTATGAATGATGATGCCTAATTCTAAATCATTCGCGGTTTCCACTAGAAGGGCTTGTCTCTAATGATAGCTTGGATGTGTCTGACTACTTGCCATTTGTAGTGATTTGATTTACAAGAATTATCTTCGTATGGACAATTTACTGTATTAGTTTGTGGTACCTTTCTCAAAAAAGAGCATTATTTAAGTATAAATAAAAACACCTTATCTCCAACTTTTTTTATTTTTTACTAGAAGGCTTATTTGTCAAAATAATTTGCATATGTTTGTGTACTTTCCTTTTATAATATTTTATTGATTATACTATTTTACTATGTTGTTCGAATGAGTATACAAGAAGTATGAAACATGATGCGTATTATAAATCATTTTCGGTTTTCTCTGGAAGGTCTAATCCTTCATGGATGTGTGTCATGACATGCCATTTCTACTGATTTGATTTTTATTATAATAAATGTTTTTGCATGAAGAATTGAGTGTGTTGTGAGAGAGCATTACTCAAGTATGAATAAAAACACTTTAAGGATTTTTTTTTTTTTTGAGTGCTTATTTGTAAACATGCCTTATATATATTTCAATATTTGGCTTTTTTTTTTTTTTTTTTTTTTTTTTTTTTTTTTTTTTTTTTTTTTGTGGTGTTAACATCCTCTTGATTTGTACATGTGGGATTTCTGAAAAGGGAGCATCATGGTTTCCACAGAAGATTTATTTGTAATTATACGTTGTATATTTCTGGGTATTTGCCTATTGTGCTGATTTCTTTTCGTTTGTAATAACATTTTTTCAATTCTGATCATAATATTTTGATCAGTACTTTGCAAGTATGAATGATGACACCTAGTCTAAATCATTCGCGGTTTCCACTAGAAGGGCTTGTCCCTAATGATAGCTTGGATGTGTCTGACTACTTGCCATTTGTACTGATTTGATTATAGTTACAAGAATTGTGTTCGGATGAAGAATTTACTGTATTAGTTTTCAGGTGTGGTCGGAAAGAGTATTATGCAAGTATGAGTAGAAACACATAATCTCCATCTTTTTTAATTTTACTAGAAGGCTTATCCCTGATGATAGTATGGATGGGATTGAGTAGTTTCTCTTTGTAACAATTTATTTTTGTGATGAGGTTAACATCTATTTTACTGTGTAGTTTGTATGAGTATGCAAAAAGTATAAATCATGACATCAAATCGGCCCGCGCTGCGGCTGAACGGTAAAGTCGCTGAACACTGGTAGTTCGGTCCGAGGTTCGAATCCCGCGAACAGCCTGGCAGCATGGGCGTCTTCGTGGTTTTTCCCATGTGTAACGTGTATACGAGCCAATTTTCCTTAGAAAGTCCTCCACGAAGGCATCCCTCCTCTTAGGCAGATAGCCCTCGAGGCTTTGCCATATTCACACACACACACACACACACGACATCAAATCTAAATCATGTGTGACTTTCCCTGGAAAGGCTTGTCCCTAATGTCAGCTTAGGTGTGTCTGCCTACTTGTACTGATTTGAATTTCGTTATATAACTTTTTTCGCATTAAGAATTTACTGTTTTAGTTTGAAGTATGTGTGTTAGGAGAGAGTATTATGCAAGTATCAATAAAAATACTTAATCTCAATCTCTCTCTCTCTCTCTTTTTTTTTTTAAACTAGAA